TCACATTGCGAAAGTGGAGTCATAGTCTCAGACTTTTCTGACCATTTTCCAGTTTATGCAATAGTAGAAAATTTTAAAACTGCTATCAATGATGACCAAATTTTATGTAGAAAAATTAATAAAACATCCATTTTCTTTATAAAAAAAGCCCTCTCACTTCAAAATTGGCATTCAGTTAAAAACGAGAATAATATAGATACAGCATGCCTGAATTTCTACAATATACTCAATAAAACTCTTGACACATACGCACCTCTGCAGTGGCAGAAACAAAAATATAAAAACGCATGGGTATCTGATGAAATAATAAAATTATCAAAAAAACAGAATCGACTGTATAAAATAGCAGTCGCTGCACCAAACTCCGCTAATGTTGAAAAATATAAAAAGTTTAGAAATTACTTTACATCAGTAAAGAGAAAGGCAGAAAAAAATTATTTTCAACAAAAATTTGAAGAGGCAAAGAGTTGCTCCAAACAAAAATGGGAAATAATAAACGGTATAATGAATAGAAAACAAAACAATCTTGAAATTAATAAGCTAAAAGTTGACGACAAAATCATCGAAGACCCAGAGGAAATAAGTATTCTTTTCAATGAATACTTCATCAATGTCACAGAGAAGCTGTTAGAAAATCAAATAGTTACTGAAGATAAATTAAAAATAAATAGTGCAATCTGTAAATCAATGTATATGAACTCCACCAGTGAAGAAGAAGTAACGTACATTGTTCAAAACTTAAGCAACAAAAAAAGCACGTCAGATGATACTTTAAGTAACAATCTACTTAAAAAAATCATCCCAGAAATTGTCATCCCAATCACTCATATTTACAATCTTTCCATCGTCCAAGGAATATTTCCACAATGCTTCAAAACATCCAGAGTAGTTCCAATTCACAAAAAGGGGAGCAAATTAGAGACAAGTAATTATCGACCAATATCTCTACTTTCTCCACTTTCCAAAGTACTAGAAAAAATAATTTTTGTCAGAGTCACCTCATTTCTGTCCATAAATAAATTATTAAATGATAAATCATATGGCTACAGAGCACAGCATTCAACTGAGCAAGCTGTGCTGCAATTAGCACAAAATGTTATGAATAATCTTAACGAAAAGATACTGACTGTAGGTGTATTCATAGACCTCTCAAAGGCCTTTGACGTCATCAACCACGATATACTGATTAAAAAATTAAATTCACATGGAATAAGAGGAAAAGTAAGTGCATGGTTCAAAAGTTATCTAGAGAACAGAGACCAGTATGTGGCAATAAAAAGTCACTCCTCAACAAAACTTAACGTAAGATCAGGCGTGCCACAAGGATCAATTTTAGGTCCTCTTCTATTCATAATCTTCATGAACGATTTTCAACATGCAACTGATGCAAATCACCTTCTATATGCAGATGACACTAACATCTTCTTCCCAACTAAAGACCCATTGAAAGAAGTAGAAAACATCAACATCTGTTTTTCAAGGATAATAATGTATATGTATATATATGTATATAAGTGTGTACATATTTCATTAACATTGATACATTTTCTCCTATTGACAATTTTATTTTATCATTGAGAAGCAATTTTGAGCTGCACGGTGGCCGAGCCCACAAGAATTAATTTTCTTTTTTTGGTCTCCGAATCATTCATGCTTTTGTTTTGTTTGATTGAATAAAAGTGATTTGATTTGATTTGATTGATATATATATATATATATATATATATATATATATATATCTAACAATACCTTTCATTCGGTCATATCATTATAAACCGATCTTATTTGATATATTGTTCGGATATAATCGGTTTTTTAAGTCGGTTTTTTCAATAGCACTAGAATTGAGAACAAGAAGACGATTGTTTTGGTTCAATTAATATATTTGAAAAGTACTTAGAAAAGAATTTAGATTGAGACTTATACAATAAGTGCAAATTTTAAAAATTATTCTATATTTTATAGGTAGTCAGTGCAAGAGAACAAGATATGGAAATATATGAGAAAAGAAAGGGTTATAGAGTTATATAAGGTAATATAGAGTTATATAGAGATATATAGAGTTATAAAGAGTTGTATAGGGATTTATATAGTTATATAGAGCTATATAGAGTTATATAGAGTTATATATAGTCATATAGAATTACTGTAGAACTGAAATGATGAGTTTCAGTTTGTTTCTCTTTTTCTGTTTTTTCTTTTCTCTTTCTTTCTCTCTCTTTCTCGATTTTCTGTCTCACTTTTTTTGACATTTATATATATCTTCTTAGTTAGTCTCCCTCTCTCTTTCCCTTTCTCTCTCATTTTATCTTTTTCTTTCTTTCTTTCTCACTCTCTCTCCTTCACTGAAAATGAATTCTTTCCTATAGAAAACCTTTTCCAATTACTTCTGAACTAAGTCTTATAATGGTATACGATAAAGTTTTCCAGTTTGAGAGATCCATTGCAGAGAATTGTAAAATGTAAAGATAGAGTAACATATCAATGCTGTATAAGTTATTAATCCCTTACTTAATAGTTTGATTTGACATTTAAGGGTATTTGAATTAAGACGTAAATATTAGGCGCTAAAAAATCATTTTGAGTCATTTTTAAATTTGTAAATAACAAACAAAAATGGCTACCGAGAGAAGAAAAATGAAGAAAAAGTCTGTTTTAAAGGTTACAAGTTTGAGATAAAAAAAATATTTTCAACTATTTTAATTTTCCGCCATATTTTTTTTCATTATAATTTATTTTTTATATTTTTTAAAATTAACTCATTATTTAAAAACCTTTTGAAACGTGTACCTCACATAAAAAAAGTTCAAACCATGACAAGCATTTGAAACATATGCCAGAAATTAGTGATCGAGCTAGTCGGAAATGTAATAAGCTGTGCTCGTTTCAGCAGCAGACGTCTGTTGCTAGAAAAATTATTGATCAATCATTTGCGTTTTAATTAATAATATATGCATTGAAATATTATTGGATGATGATAGATCATTTAGCAATTAGTTTTTTTATTTTTAGTCAATCATTTGTTGTGTTTGTATTATTTTTGTTTTGCCTAATTTTTTATGTAGTACACACACACATATGTAACAAATAATAGCTGCCATATTTAATTATAATTAGAGATTAATGTTAAACTGTCGTTAATACATATAATATTTTGTACTATCTCAATGTACTATTTCATATTAGTAACATACTTACCTAGTTGTTGAAAGTTTAAACCTTAATTTCATAATTGAAATTAATCAAAAGTGTAATAAAGACATTTAACCTCTTTTTAAGTAATACCATAGTCATATACATCTGCTACATAGCTCTATGCTAGTTTATCTAACTTGTATTCACTATTGAATCTAGTAGTACTATTCTGTTGGATAGATATCTGAAATATGGTTAGCACAAGTTTTTAAAAATTAAAAAAATTTTTTTTTCAAGTTTTATTATCACTTATGATTTAACCTAATCAATCACCTTACTTATTTATAATTTGAAAGATTAATTAAATAGTTATCAAATTACACATAATATAGTCTAGTAAAAATCAACTCAAAACTCGAACTAATCTAAATTTTATTCCTTACTTAACTTGAATTTTATTACTTAAAGGATGAGTTGGAAAAACCGACAAAAGAGGAGTACTCGGTGGCCAGGTGTTTGAGGTTTCAGGGGCCATCCAAGGAGGGGAAATTCAATGGGAACTTTTGCCCCTATTTTGTAGGTCAGTACATTTCTCTTCTAACGACTCGTTTATTTAATCATTTATCTATCTATCTGTCTGTGTGTCTGTCTGTCTATCTATTTATTTATTTTTTAATTTTAATTGTAATTTTTTGAAAATTCATTTTATTCATAATTATATTATAATGATGAAGAAGAGGATGATGATGATGACGGTGATGATGATGATTAATGTTTATTATTATTATTGTTGTTGTTGTTGTTGCTGTGGTTAGGGTCAAAGGTCGTGGATTTCTTGCTCTCTGAATCGCAGTGGGGCACAAAATGTGCCAACAAAACCAGCCAACTCTACACATCTAGATCTTCGTGTGTAACTTATTGTGCTAGGTGATAGTTCATTTATTATTAATATTATTAAATTTATTATTATTACATACATACATACATACATACATACATACATACATACATACATACATACATACATACATACCTACATACATACATACATACATTCAAACATACATACATACAAACATACACACATACATACATACAAACAAACAAACATACTTACATACATACATACAAACAAACATGCGTACATACAGATTACTTGAGAAAGGTTTTTTTCATCGGGTTGAGAAGATTGATCGAAGGGAGAGACTAATGGCCACAGCAGCAACGTCATCGACACAATCATCCAAAAAGTCGTCTGCCGGGGACAAACTACAGTCGAAGGATGGCACACCTGGTCTGACAGTTAGTGAAATTAGTGATAATAAAGTTGATAACTATTATTAATTTTGATGGTAGTGAAGACAATTATAATGGTAATTGCTTTAGAGTTGGCATGTTGATGGCTTGTACAAAAAGATGCTGATAATGATGATGATTATGATGATGATGATTAGGACTAAGATGAAAATGATATCGTTGATGATGATGATCATCATCATCATCGTATTCGTCATCACCACCATCGTCGTCATCATCATCATTGTCGTCATCATCGTCATTCTAAACTTGAAACTAGAAAAGAAACAAAGGCAAGAAAGATAGAGATGCAACTGAACAACAGCCACAGCAGCTGCCAGATGAACAGACGGAAAAAAAGAACGACGATGACGTCACTAAAGCTGCTGCTGCTGCAGCTTGTAAAACGGCTGCTTCTGACGCTACAACAGCAACTTCAACGGCCGCCAAAGAGGATGGTGTCAATGTTAGTTATGATAGCGCTAGCTTCGGTTGCGATGAGGATGATGATGATGAAGATGGTCATAATTATCATAATTATTATAAATAATTATTAATAATTATAATTAGGAGGAGAAGAAGAAGAGGAGGAAGCCGGCTAAGTTGAGAATGCACGATAACCAAACGTTCATTGACTCCCCTGATGCTGTTTGCTGATTTATAATTACCATGAAATTATGACTATAATTACGTTTATAATTATTTTTGATTATATTTTGCAATGGGAAAAATTATATTAATTATATTAGTTATATTTATTAATTAATTAGTTGATTGGTTGATTGATTGAATATTGATGGAGCGGGATCTGTTTCAGTTTGTTGATGTTTTCAAAGTTTATGAGGATTTCGCTTGTCTTGTTGTTTGTTTGCTTGTTTGTTTATTCATTCGTCTGTTCATTTGTCTTTTAAATTCTTCATACTTTCATCCATCTATTCATCTTTTCATTCATTAATTCATTTATTCATCCATTCATTCATTCATCTTTTCATTCATTAATTCAATTATTCATCCATCCATTCATTTATTCATTCATTCATCTTTTCATTCATTAATTCATTCATTCATTCATTCATCTTTTCATTCATTCATTCATTTATCCATCCATTCATTCATCCATTCATTCATTCATTCAGCTGTACGTATGGATATACGATCCTGTACCCTTAAAAACGTATGTGATAGGTGCCCTTTTAGGTAAATTATGATGATGACGACGATGATGATGATGATGTCCATGGTGATGATGGTGATGTTGTCGATGATGATGATGATGACGATGCTGATGATAGTCTCCAAGATATGATGATCCCATTATAACCATGACATCGTTACAATTGTAATACAACATTATCATAATTTATTCATCATCCCAATTATAATATTATAATGTTACATTATCATAATTTATTCAGTCATAGGCTCCATAGTCGTATGCTTATTCCCATTATGGCCGCCCGAGTTGAAATCAGGCATCTATTACCTCAGTCTCTTGGCCCTGGGGTTCATTGGCATTATACTGGCCCTCTATGTTTGTTAGTTTGTGTGTGTGTGCGTGTGTGCGTGTGCCCTCGTGTGTGTGTGTGTGTGTGTGTGTGTGTGTGTGTGTGTGTGTGTGTGTGTGTGTGTGTGCGTGCGTGTCTGTCACACATACAATTGAAACTTCTACACTAACGG